CGAAAGACCGGGTACCACTGTTCCCTCTAAGCTGCGCTTTTGAACCTGCAGTGCGGCAAACAGGAATTTTATGGCACGGGAAAAAATGTGACTGCGATTGTGAATGTTGGCATTTTTCCATTAACGTTGACCTTCACGCGTATCTACGGTCGTGGCTCTAGTCTTACTTATTCACGGTCTTTAAGATAAGTTAGGGCACTATATTATGCTTTCGGCATTTCCTGTTTATAATGTGTAGCGTCATTGTGAGGCAGTGTTGAGACAATTGTATATTTGAGCTGTATCGAACCGCCACCTTTCTTGCATCAAGTGCAGATTGCGAACTTGGATTCAGTCTGATGAACATTATAAAAACAAAGTCTCAAAGTTAGACATGCTCATGAGAATTAAATCGTACCAAAAAAATGGACAGGATATTCATCTCGACAAGGTGTACACACGATGGTTGTCATTGAAGAAAGACAGATGCCAGAAATGATAACTGATCAATGTGGTTGTGTACAGCACAAGTTTTAAAACTTCAGTTGGGAGGATAGAAGTGAAAACTTCTAGAATTTTCAGTGACATCTTGACTTTTGACTAGTTTCTATAGTGATTGGTGAACTGTCGAAGTTAAAGATATGCAATGCATGATTTGCATTATAGTTGCAATGCTCTGGATAAAAAAGGTCCATAGTAAAACCGTTTGCATGAGTGTGCACAATACAAAGTACGGAAGTAAGCAGTTTATTGCAATTCACATCAACTGTTGAACAAACACCAAAATGATATCAGAAAATAAACATTTGCACATTGTAAATGGAATCTTCAAGAACTTTATAAAAGTTTTATCATTCGGGGTGTGGCTCACGCATAATTAATGACATTCCTGAACAGCAAACAAAAAATTTAGATAATGTGGCAAAACAAGTAGGTCTTCATGGGAGTCGTAAAATATTTTTTTAACACAACTTATCGGTCTGCTCAATAGGTAGTATTTCAAAATGTTTATTAAAACTATATATCCTTTAGTTTAGCTGGCAAACTTTCACAAAATGAGCAACAGCAATACGTCATTATGCCCCTTGTGCCTTGTCTTTGGTCTTTTCAAGTCGATCACCAAGTTCTCACATGGGACTGTTTGAAGCCCTGTGTATCCTGCACTAAAGCTTCTTTTACGCCGCTCAGATTAAGTCATCCGTTCAGCAGGAAAAAAAATTAGAGGGAACATTGCTAGGTACAATGCAAAATTCATAGCCCCCAATCCCTATTGTCTGCAGAACAAATTAAAGTCTACTTTAAGAGTATCTTGGGTAAACTCCACAGCAAAAGAGCACACCATTTGAAATGCAGATTTCTGCATGTGAAAGCTCAGGGAACACAGTTTTTCTATAAACTGCACAGAAGCCTCAGCTTTTTTCCCCACACCCCAGCTGTAATGAAGATCTGCTTTATTGAAAGATGACCCGTAAGCACACTACCAATCACTTCTGATCACCGAAGCAGCAGACTGGAGTTTTCAACATGAACATTTATATTTTTATAAATCCTTTGCAAATTCGGGTTAGAGCTCTATTTGGCAAATGTAACAATCGAAAATTACTGATATTACTGCCTTGTTCCTCGTTGGGGGACAGGTCTTTATTAAAATACATGCAAACCAGTTTCACGTGATCTAGCTTCTGGAGACTTCTAGTAGGAAGATTTTAGGGGGTACCAAAGTTAGGGTGAGGGTAATGGCTTTTCTCGCTATTTAAATTTAAATACATTTGTTTGGGGAACAAAAATATGAAGTAATTAGTGTTCTGGATTTATAATCAAAAAGCTGAGGGCCCAGATAATACTCTACCACATAAGAGAAAGGTACATCACTTAAATAACTCTACTAAATTGTTGTGCTTTATAAATGAGCCTCCAGGTCATACGTGAAATTGAGAAGTTGGTTTTGACCATTGATTTTGTGAAAGAAAGGCTGTTATTATTACTGTCAGACTATTATTTTGCAGGATTGCCACAGTAACGCTCATCATTGATCCCGTGGTCTTCCAGGAGAATGCAGAGAAGAAAGTTGTAACAACTCCAGCCTCCATTTCTTTTGTAACCATATTTAGCTCATCCAGCCAGATGGTAGCTCTGCGTGCATGATATCACTTTCACAGTGGCAAGAATCCACAAGGCCATGCAAAGTAAATATTACAAGCCAGTTTTGAAAGCTGACCCGATAGGCATTAACAGTTTTGTACCGTTGTTCCGAGTCCCACATATTAAGCCAGGGGTATGTTCAATAAGCAGTGTCACAAATTGCTGTGCAACCTTTTCTGCCGAAGAGCTCTGTATTGATGGTCAATTTCCCGAGGCCTGACCACAATAGGAGGGAGAGGACATGCGAAGTGAGTTGGCTAACAACTGCAAGGCATGTCTGAAATCCATCTGAATGTCATGTCCTCTCTCATTGCTTTGCTCTGAACGATGTGCTCTGCTCTATCTAGAGTGCTCTGTTCACTGCGTTCGCCACCATTTACCAGACCATGGACCCCAGGTCACAAAATCAAGAAGTCACACACAGAGAAAGACCAGCTCAGTTTACAACAAACAAAACTATAACTTTTTCCTGAAAAATGCTCACATTATCCAGATATCTGCAGTACCTTAGCTGTTCTGTAACTCTGACCTCATACCCCAATCTTAACCCTATACCTACTGTATACTTAAACATATGGTGAGTGTAAAAGCTGCAGGAACTAGGGATTATCCAACTAGGGACTCCTAAAGATACAGTATATCATGCGGTTGGACTTGCAAGCTGCATTCAGCGCACACTATATGGTGATACAGCTTCTAAGATAATTCTTGTGAAGATCGACAAATCACTACCCACCTATGGAAATTGAAAGATTCCATCCAATGTTGTGATGAGAAGAAAAACTTTTGTAAGAGCTCCAAATCCACAATTAATACTCTTCCAACAATCATGCCGTGTGTATGGTAATTAATTTGCTTTGTACAAAGGAAACATTTGGAAAGGAATGTTCAGCCAGAACCTACTAGCTGAAAAACCATACAAATACTGACCTTGTACTTGAGCTACCTGTATACAGTGCAGTTCAACATTCAGAATGATTACCCGGGCAAACCTCGGATCAAACAATACTGATATTCACTGTAATCCATAGATTCCCCAAGATCTTTGCATCCCTGAACAGGTGAGTCTCTCCCAGTATACAAATATCCTCACTTCACGTATTATCAAACAGTTAGGGTTGTGTGACACTAGACAGGGCCATCCAATCCTGGCTCTTGAGAGCCGATGTATCTGCAGGTTTTCATTCCTACTCATTTCTGAGCTAAACCAGCTGGTTACTGGTTGAACTGGACTTCTCCCAGCTCTTCAGCTGCTTCTGCTTTAAAAGAACAGCCTACAGGCACACTGGCCTTGCAGGAGCACAACTGGACACCCCAGCAGCGAGACCCTGGACACACTGATGCACACACTGCACTTTCACCAAGTGAGCCCCAGTGCAATGTTAACAATAGCCCAATGGGAAAACTATGCAAAAAGGAACTTAAACTACTTGAGTGCTCCCAGGTGTGCCTTCTTATAGAAACAATGTGCAATTGGCAGCTGGAACATCAGAAAAGACTGATCTACATCATGAGGATTATATTGTATTCAACCCCTCAAAACCTTCCCCTGAGCCCACATTTCTTTGCACCCAATGTAAGGGAGACTATCTTTATTGCAATAGTGGAATAGCATACTGGTTTTCATTCCAGCTGAGCTCTCAGGGCTATAACAGAAGCCTTAACTGACCCAATATCTAAGCTCTTTTTTTCAGTTTATGAAAATATCACAAATCGCCATTTAACTGTTGCGCTTCAAAAGGATCCCGAGACCTCTGACTTTTGAGCAGAAAACAGAAATCAACCTGCTTATTTCTCCAAGGCTTCAACAAAATGGCTGAAACAAAAGCAAAGACCATCAGGTGTGTTTGGACCTGATCTTTATCATGTATACACATACAAGGGAAATTACAAAACACACACGTGTCGATGCTTGAATAGCTTCAGTTATGTTACAAATGTTACAAAAGTTTAAAATAAAGTGCCCTAAGTGAGTTTTTAGACTTAAGCTGGAATGAACACCCACAGACACCAGCCCTCCAGGACCAGGACTGATCAGTTATCTGGTTGTTTTTCCTTCCTAGTTTGGAATGACCAGTTCCAGCTACAGTCCCTCACTCTCTGCTCTCCACAGAGTCCTCGGCTAGACTGCGCTAGTCTGAGGCCAAAGATATGCACAACAGTATCTTCACTTGAATATATCTTTTTTGTCCAAAATCCAAATATACATGCAAAACTGTTATTATCAAGTCATGAGGATTGTTAAGGTCTATATGTCATCCTCTTTAGACAATTCTTTAACACAAATTCAAGCTTCACAATGGTTATGGAGCTGAGAATGGGTTAAAGAAAAAAATAACTGATTTTAAAACAAAAATAGTGTATTGATTAACATGTAAGCATATTAGGACTCATGCATATCTTAAAACACATGGACATGGAAACTTTTCCTTCCTGTATTATTTGAAAAAAAGAGTAAAGCACAATTCTCCCAAAGCATATTAAAAAAATAAAAATTATTTCCTTGTCCTTTAGAGATTTCTGACATGGAAGTTTGCATCTTATTTGCTGTACGGATTTGGGGACCATCTGTTTACTTTGGCTCCAGCCTGGCTTAACGAGAAAATTGAAATTATGCTTCACATCATGATGGAGGCAAAAAATCAATTACATACCCTGAGTAAAGAGAGTTTAAGCATATGGTTTTTAAACAAGCTGAAACACACACTGGAGACTCATTTTGGGAATTCTGCCTACGAGTCTGATGTCCATATAGACTGTTGTGCAATTCCCTTGGTGCAGTAGTGACAAACCAGCTTTAGCCAGACAGCAGGACAACCAGGAATGCAGCTGTGCAGTTTCAGCTGCGCAACTGGCAAGGAAGACACCCAGATCCCTACCTTTAGACTTGACTCGTAGTCTGTGTTAACTTTGAACATCAGCCCAAGTCGTAAATGAATTTCCTTGGCCCGGGAAAAGCTGGGGTCGATGTAAAGCACCTCCTGAAATGCTTTAATCGCCCTATGACAAAGACAGAAATAACAAGTTAGATATTTGGCAATATTCAAGACAAAACACTGTTATTAGCAACCATCAGATCCAGCAGTCCGTTTCTATCCAAATTACGCTACATGGCTCATCTGAAGTCTGTAAGCATCAGAAGCATTTGAAACTTCAAACCTTCACTGAAGCAATTCCGCACCCTTCTTCTTTCCTAAAATCTCTAACATCCCGTTGGGAGTTGTGAGGCATCAGCTGGGACAAATCTCAGAAGGTAACAAGAGCCACAGCAGAGGAGACAAAGATTTGAGACTTCTTGTGAAGGACCAGTTAACAGAGCTGGGTGAACCCAAGTCTCAAAGAACAGGATGGCAGATAATAACCTAATTTAATATCATCATTATCATTTTTATGATGTGGTCAACACCTTAGTCCAAAATGATTTATTTGATACAACGAGGCACCGGTGCAGTCCATAGACTGGAATCGGCACGAGTGCCATACCTTGGCTCAGGACACCACAGTAACACACCCCACTTATGATTTGAACCTGCAACCGCCCAGTGACATCTTCCACCCACAGTTGTTTCTTGAGGTCATATATCCAGGCTCCTAACTTACTGTTCCACACCTCCAAAGTCCTGCCACACAAAACACATGCCATACAAGCAGCAAGGCAATGGAGCAAACCCAGACAGAAATGTTATATGTAACAGCCTTGTAGAAAAGGCAAGGCCTGATGCAGACACTCAGAGGAGAAAAATGTTACACTCACTGCCATACATTTAAACGGCCACAAATACTTGAACACAACAGACAAATCAACAGTGAGTTATCAATGTTCAAAGAGGTACAATAAGGAAAAGCCAGTTTCAAAAACCAACACAATTAAAATTCAAATGTAAGAAATAGAGAATAATTACATACAGTACTGTTGTGTGCAAATGAACTCGACTTTAAATATCTTCACTTTCCAATTACCTTGATTTTCGTACTTTCTACTGTGACAGAACACTACTGTACTCCATTGAATTGAACAGAAGAGTCAGTGGCAACCATTTTTGCCTTTCAGCAGAGCACAGTGGCTCACGAGAACTGTGAAACATTAAATTTGACATCAAACACAAGGTAGAAACTCTCGAGTCAAAATGAAACTCCTGAGGATAAGAGTTATTCGCAGCAGTGCAAGATCTTTCTAGCTTACCCAAAAAACAGCATTTGAAATGAAAACAGACGCATTCCGCAGTCTTGGCCTGTCTATCAGGTTTTTTCGTGTAGAGACCATGAAAATGAAAGGGCTACTTGAGAGTCGTTCTCAAACATGCAGAGTAGGCAGTCAAGAGCATCAACACCAAAAATCAAATATCAAAAACCCTTCAAGAAAGAAAGAAATGGCACTGATCTCAAGATAAAAAAGTATTATATGGACATTTTTGGCTAAATCTATAAAAAAGATGGCAAACATTAGTCAAATTCAACCAATTGTTTATTTTGAAAGTATCAGATTATTCCTTAAACATTTGTATCTAAATATGACGCTTACTGAGTCTAGCCTGCGAACTTCAAATAAATTACCGCGCAGTCTATAAATTATGTAAGTCTTCAAGTATTAACTACCCTTTGAAGATACAAATGCCAGCTGTATGGCTTAGAAAAAAATAGCAATAATTAGCTGTCTAGACAAAATCTGCCTTCATACAAAGCTTTAGCTCCTATTAAGAATCTCAAATGTTACGATTCTGCGTTACAATACCAAATCCGAAAATCCTTGTAATTTGAATTAAACAATCCTCTTAGTGGATTAAATATGTGCATGCATGTCTATACACATGCATTACAAATGTTCCCAACTGACACACAGTGTAACAGCTGAGAACACCTTATTCAAAAGCCTCGAGTGAAACATACTTTAATGCTGCCACATAGCATCATTACATTTTCAGTTCTGAGACAGCTATAAAAAAAAAACAAGTTGCAATCCTGCAAGAAACAGGTGTCCCACAGTCAAACCCAGTGTGGGAAAACGAGGGGAAAAGGCATTTTTCTAAAAGGATCATATAGGGAGGGAAAACCTCAACAAGGGGAGAGGGTAGCATTCATGGAGTTCATAAGAGTTCAAATGTGGTCAGTGCAGATGGAGGTATATAGAGGTACGGCAGTAATTTAACCTCAGTAAAACCATTTTAAACCAAGCATTTCAGATTGCCCTTTACTGGATAGCAAGAGCAGATTTACCAGGACTGTTCCAAAGACAGATAATTCCAGTGCTAATGGGTATTTTCCTGTGTTACAATAACAGAAGGAAGGTGACATTGATCAGCTCTAAAATGCACCACAACCCTTTAAAAGGTTGCAAAGCTTAAGGAAAGAATCACATGGAAAAGACTTTAAACCTATTCAGGAAAATAACAAATGCTGATGAACTGGGACATGGCCTTTAGCAGTAACTGTGTTCCCAACAGCCCCTGTGGTCTTATTTCACATGACATTTCAGTGGGTTTCAGGAGGCCATGTAAATCCATACGCACAGTACTGAAACAACTCACTCTAGCACCTTAGCCTCTGTGCTCTTCTACAACTTGCCACTCCTCCTATGTACATGCCAGAAAAGACTCCACAGACTTTTTACTTGTCCAACAAGAGAATAAAGCAACAAACAGCTGCAATGTAACTCCTACCTTTCTTAATGTTTAAGACCTCTGTAGCACAAGGGTTCTTTCATCCACACCAGCAAATGAAGCCCTAAGGAACTTGCATGCTTTTGGACAGTGTATCTTTGGATCCTCCAGTTTCCCCCAGACCTGGGAAGAGCATGCTGATGCCAGACAGCAAGAATCAAACCCAGACCCCCTTGAAGCTGTGAGGCCACAGCGTTACCCAGTCAAAAGGAAACCAGGGAGGATCACCATGAAACAAAACACCAACAAATGACCTCCTACTGATCGCTGCCAAACCAACGAGTGCAGCCATGCCAGATTACTGCCCTAGAGAGGATCCACCAGCTGATGCCTCTGCCAAGAGTGGTGAAGACTGCAGTTCCTGGCCTCGTCCTAAACTGAATAAATACAGATTGTCTGCATTGGCAGCTTCCATTCACGTGAAAGAAGTCTTGTCTGCTGAGAAACCATGAGTATTCAGGTTTGGCTGGCACAATTAGCACTTTGCGTTGGAGTCATATTTTTTCTGATTTACTGAGCGGTTTGGCTGATGTGATGTAATTTTTACAAATCTGAAGGTGCTGACTTTTAGACAATAGCATAAGCTGCCTCCTCTCGATATGATCGGCCAAACAAAGTGGTAGACCACTGTGCGCGAAGGCAAACACCATCCTAGAGAGAAAATCTTAGGACTTAAGGATCTTCGGCTGCAAAGGCGTCCGATCTGCATCCCCCTAAGCCTTCCCCCAAACGTACCCTTCATCAAGATCATTCGTCTGAATTCACAGAATACCATACTCAAGGGTTCTCTCAAGTTTGATTTACTTATGGGATGTCAAAAATTAGATTTGCACATACGTGTTTTGTCTGATGCACCAAATGAATACACAAAAATAAAACTTGCTTCAGTTTAAGGACTGATCTGCCTGCGCTCATGATTAATTCAACAGATGCACAGCGGATCCTCTTTACTATTGTAGGTGATTCCTACTGCTAAATTTGTAACCTATAAAACACTGTCTACCATCACCAAAGATCAACAAAGACCATGTTATAGATTCATAGTTGTACTCAAGAGAAAGGAAAGGTCAAATAATGGGTTTGTAAATGCTACGTTATATTATTCTTCTTTTTTCCTTTTACTCTGTAGCAACATTTCCATTGCCATTAAAATGGAAAAATGCATTTATATGAAATAAGCCCCATTTTTTTATCAGTTCAACAAAACTTTCAATATAGTTTCTTCACTGTTCACCAAACTGAAAGCTTTTTAAACTTAATTTGACATTCTAAACTAAAATTATACTGTGCTAAATGGACTCCAGTAAGAAAATTGATTTTTTCTCAACGCTGATCTCATCCAGCCTTTTCTTGAAAAATTCCAGGGTTTGGACTTCAAAACATAGCTGGATAGCTTGCTCTATAGTTCCACAAGCCTTTGAATAAATAAATGCCTCCAGGTCACAGATTTAAATACTGTTTTGATGTGTGTCCACTGGACCGTAATTCACTTTTCATTCTGAAGAAGTTCTCTGGGCTGACTTGGTCAATGACTGAGTATTTTGAATAAAATAATTTGGTCCTGTTTTAGCCTTCACTGTTCAAGGTTAAAAGGGTCTTGCTTTTTTATGGGTGAGCTTAATTGTAGAAATATAAAAACTAGCTAGATTTAGGATTTAAGCTTTAAAGCTTGTTTATTAAGAAGGTTTAGCAATTTGATTTATATGTTGTAACAATGCAACAGATACTGAAAAGAAACACTACTGTTTTCCGAGACCTACACAGTAAACTACAGTAACAATTTAAAGGAAGGTTTATGAACAATTGCCCAAACATTTCTGAAGAAAACATAGATCAAGAATTAAGAGGAACAAATGACTTAATAAGGATCAACTTAAAATAAGAAGAGGAGAGTTATAAGATAAAAATAAAGCTGGAAGATTTGAAGGTGAAAGGTTCTCGTTTGAGCTCGAAGATCATGAGTTCAGGCTGGCTGCTGTAAGGGCAGGACATCCCCGTACTGCAATCGGCACAGATCCCCCCAGTAAAAGAAAGTGCCACCTGTGCTGTGTGGAAAGGCCAATGGCCCGATGGTGGGCAGGAGCAGGAGTTTTCATTCTGCCCAATGCGAGGCCACAGGGCTCACGGCAGAAGAGAAAACATGAAACACATCTGACCACTTCAAATTGGAAAATTGGCAATATTTAAATAAAGTTCTGAAATTGGGCTGGGGGGGAGGATTCACAAACTGTTTTCTCTACAAAATCAGTCTTAAGGTCATAAAGAAAGTGTGTAAATCTTTATGTTTCCTTATCCCAGCAAGCCCTAGTGAACCAACACGGGAGTCCTACCTTCTCTGTCCAGAGGGGGCGTCAGTGGAGAATGGCAATGTCCTGGATGGGGAAAAGGGGGACCTTCAATGATAAATCCCAGGAGAGGTCTGTTGCTCTGTTTGGCATCTCAGCCAAAACCGTCAGACTACATACAGCACAATATGATTCTAACTACATAATTTTATCTTTCTGTCATCTCAATGCATTGCACATAGACACTGAAAATCTAACAAAACAAGGAAACGTTAAGCCAAAAATGGTAATTTAGGGCGAGGGTGGTAGTACTTAGTACTTTAGGGTGAGGGTGTTTGCATCTATGTTTCTATGGGTTCTAAAATAAAACAGAATTCTAGTTTATCCATTTGCTAATCTACAAAGGGCAAGGTTTAAATAATAGCTCCTGGAGCAGGATTTGTGTAGCGCATGCCTACAAACAGCAAATGTAAAAGCCGGGAAAACTCTTAAAAAGCAAACGGCACGCTGCTTACAGAAAAGGTGCACAAACAGCACAGTAATTTAGAGATACCACAGGTCACCATCACAAAACTGATGGAATTATGGATCTGCAAAAGTACAAAGTATTTTCTCCTTCCTGTTCCATCCAGGTAAAAAACTAGAGGCAAAACTTCATACTCAAAATAACACTGGAGAGAACTTCAAGAACTGTGAAAGTTGTATTCTACATAATTTCACATAAGATGCATAAATGTTTACAGTTTTGCTTAAGATATGCTTATACAAACACACTCGCTAATGCAGTGTTGTACCCATAATTACTTATATCTAAGAATGGCAGTGAATGCACAATGCCATAATCATCCTAATAATACATGAAATGATACAATAATAAAATTTAAGCTTTTTTGCTACAATAACCCACATTGTACACTGAATTGCAGCTACCCTTGTATTAATAACTAGAGCTGTTTCTAGACTTGATGAAGTTCAGGTAGGGAGCAATGTCAGCATGCTTTGGCAGCAAAGGCTACTGAAGAAGATTCAAAACGTTTTTTTGTCTTTTCAGCAGGTAACACCCTTTACTTGGTCCTGTTTATACTCTGTTTACCAGTACCACAAGCAAAACAAAAAAAGCACTTTCTATTCATGGTAGACTTGTACATCTATTGCCACATTCAAAATAAAACCCACAAAACGTATTTCTCGGAAGAGGACAATAGGAGAAGTTTTTAACTTTTGAATCATGCACCTCTCTTTGAAGATTAGGAAATGCTTTCACAATATGAACAGTAGAATTCAGCACAGATGTACCTGTACCATCATGGATTGGCGCATGGGCATCAAACTTCACAGCCCTCACTGACAATTTGTTAGACCTCATATATGCATAATCTCTTATTTTGGGATTACTTCTGAATCAGCACAGGATGCTCTTCAAAAACTGATCTTCCCTATATATTATCACCATCATCATCTCTGCAAATCTTCTGCCAAAGTGATACAGATCTTTCAGTAGAAGCTATTTTATTGTTTTTTTTAAAAAAGGTGCTTAGATGCTAATGATCATGGACAATTGGATTCATCCCACAATGTGTAAAGTCACAGAACTGTGTTCTTTTTTTCAGAAATCCACCCAAATGCTAGTGACAAAGTCTAGATTTAGCTGAAGAACAAAACACTTAAAAAGCAACAACTAAACACTCCCTTCAGTCTGCGCTAAACTGCTGTGTTCAGCATTCCCACAGAAATGCTGCACAGGCTGATCGGCTACCCAGGTTCTACAGAGTTCATACAGAGCACCAGAACCACAGATCTCTTTTCTGAAAGAGAAATCTGGACCATATTTGGCACATGGATACTAATGCACCCACCAATCTGGCAGCTATGCTAAAATATGTTAAAGATGCACACAGATCTGAAGGAGGCTGAGTGTGGAGGAGTACATCGTACACCACTGGAGAGAGAGAGCTGTTACCTTGAAATCTACATGCTCGGAATGCGGCCAGATTTCGCTCACAGCTTGCGGGTATGGGAAAATTATTATTTTAAATAAGCCCCTAAATCTCAAAGCTGCTGAAATAAGCTTTTAAAATAGGCTGGGCACCATTTAAATGGAGCACTGGAGTGAAACACCCCATTACCTAAGCTTACCAGGGCCAAGAAGATAGAGACCCCCAGTAACAGTCACCACTACAAACAGCACGTCCTGTCGACAGGTATTCCAAGACATCCAAACGATAAAAGGTTGTTAGATTCTTTTTATGATAAGGTTATAGCCAACATGCATCTGTCACATTGCGGTGCCGTTACATAATTGCACATGCACTTGGCTCTGCAACACCACGACGCTTGCAGAGATATCCCCCATTTAGACATTTAAACCAGCAGGTTGCTAAAATACCCAGAACGTCCTGGTGTTTTGGGCAAAAGGCTATGGAAAAAAAGTCATGAAAGATCATGCTGGGCTATCTGGAAAATGTCCTTTAAGACTACACAATAGCTAGAGTTTTACAGTTAATGTGACGTTTAACTACACCTGACCGGGTCTCCCTTCTGGCTCAAACCTTCTGAACAGGTAGATAAAGGCAAGGTCTTTCCTTTGGTAAACCATCTTTTCATCTAGATTCTTGTGTTTTGCACATATGGCTGTCCACTTATGAACCAAAAGATCTGTAAAACTTTTTTAAAAAGAAGGAAAAGTTCAACTTTTCCCCAACTTGATTTCCTTCACTCAATTCACCTGGCTCATGGACGTTATAAAGATCACACTGTAATAACAAAACAAATAAATCTACAGAAATTGCATTTCTTTTTACCCCTTAAAAATAGATTTTGCATTTCTAAATGTTTAAGTTATTTTCAGCATAATTAAGCTTCTAATACTTGGTCTGCTCAAGGTCTAAGAAACCATCTTGGTTTAACAGCAGTAAAAATGCACAGGCAATTTTCTGAAATTTTGAATGAAGAAACCAGGTATGTTTTAGTATGTATGTGCAGTATGTGCACACCTGAAGATGGATGCCCAGATGCACAGACTGCACTGTTTTCTGCAAACTCTAAAGCAAATAATGTACAGAAAATGATTCAAGACTTCAAAGATGAAGCCGGAAACACTGCACAGTGAAAGTGAGAGGTTTCAATTCAGAATCGCTCCCACTCTACAGTATCAGCCAGTGAAAACAAGCTCCTCTCTCTCACACAGAACAGAGTTATGAGAACTATCAAGAAAGCCAAAAATACTAATGCTGCCAAACCAAATTTGTCAGTCATTCCTGGAGAGATGCAGCTTAATCCCCAGTGCATTTAACACGAGCCCCCTACCCAGCCATCACAACTTTTAACACAACTCCGTGTTACTAATGAAAAGGGTACTTACCACTGAAATGCATTATAATGGAAGTAAACCATACCGAGGCCGTACAAGAAGGCAGCATTCTGAAAAAAGAGAGAGAAAATGTAAGACCTCAGAAAACAGAGCACAAAAACGTAACCACTATGCAAGAGTCTTTTCAAATTCAGTGAAGCAATGAACTTATGAAAACTGCAAGTGCTGTTTTACACTGATCACATCTCAAGAAACCAGAGTGCCACAATATCATTCCATCACTAGTCTGGTTGACATCTTCTGGTCATGATTAAATAACACTTCAAGTATTACCACAATATTCACCAACACAACATGACCTCTCTCAACTCCAGCTGGAGGAAGCAGTGTGAAAAGATGGGGTGAAAGATTGGCCTGTCCATGCTATCTGACATGTGGAGTTTCCAGAGGAGAAGGAGTAACAAATCAAGTTAGATCAAGTAACCTGGCATTTAAATGAACACCACACCACAATGGAAAAGTGAGCTGGTGACAAAATACTGATCTGGCCAAACTACATAAGAGAGCATGACTTTGTGACAATTGCTCCATAAAAGAAAAACTTGAACGCAATATGCGTTTTTTAGAGGAAAGTTTTGCAATTCACAGGAAACAAAATCTTTCCACAAACATCAGTTTGGTTTCTACCCATCAGTAATAATGAGATTGGAAGCAAGATGTTATTCGGCCTGAATTCCTCCTTTCCTTCTGGTAATGCTGAAATGGATTTTGACTAGACTGAAGTAAACATCTTTGTGTTCCCCTAGATGTAGGTATTTCAATTTGCCACATTGCAACCTGGACTGGAAAATAGACTTGTAAAATGGCGAAGATCGGAATTTCGTTCACATTATGTGCAGGGTGTGACACCCTGTGAACACCCATCCAGGCCAGTATGGGAGAGTAAACTATATAAGGTCTTCGTGAAAAGAGGAATTCGAAGCCACAAGATTTTTCCATCTTGCGTGGCGCTGTGATAGGAGAGCTCATATTCATACCCCTCAATTCAGGGATAACAATTTGGTCTTTTGAAATTAAAACAGAGCTGCAGCTTTCCTTGAGATACACTCAAGCTCAGGAGAAAGCCATCAGGTCCCATCCCGCGGGCTCTGGGGAGAATTATAACTGGGTGCTGGGAACATCACTTCTTTCTAATAACAACCAGCACTCAAACCTGCTACTGTAAAAAGACACCTAGAGACTCTTCCGAATTTGGCACAGCGGTAACGAATGCTCAAATATATGTTGCCATTATTCGCAATACCACCGGGAAGCATAATGAGCACTTAATGAGATTAAAACAAAGCATTTTCCCCTCAAGACATGAGCTGCTAGCAGTCACAAGATAAAAATATGCACAGCCTGCGGTCTCTTTTCCACCCAGCAATTCTTCTATTAAAATTAACTTTGTTTCTCTTTCGGTCTGAGATCAAAAATGGAATCTAGACCAAAAATAGGCTGAACAAATTCCACCAAGCTAGATTTGAGTTTTGTTTTAAGATTACGTTAACACTATACTGATTGTCATTATTCTATGACTGCCACTTCTAACAGCCTTTTACAGCTCACAGCATGCTCCCTTCCTCCAAATACGTCAAACAAGCCTCATGTAAGCAGTTGACTACTTTTGTAAAAATTACAACTTAACAACAGCTGAATCTAAAGTGCAATTGGGTCACGTAGCAAGACAAAGATCCAAAACATACAAGCAAGACTTGACGATGGCTCCGGTGGGACATTTCACCTATGCACACAACCAGGATGTGGATACAACCGACGTCAACAAAGCAACAGTTAACTGCAAACACAAAATGAATGTGTTGTCAATGTGTCTCCACTGGCCATCTCAATCTCCAGGCCCCAGTACTGGAGTACAAAGGTACTGAAGGACTTAGAATCTTTCTGCCTGGAAGAAAGGTCAAAAAGCAGACAGAAAAAGTGTGTGAACCCCATGAAACTACATGGGGCATCTTGTCAGTGTAACCCATGCCAGAGGAGAATTTAAATAGGTGTGAAAAAAGATGGCCCTGTTGTTTTCTGGACTGTGTGACAAATATGACTTCACTCTCTTTAATGCCAACAAAATTACAATATTATTTTATCTCTTTGTGAAACAAGACACTATCTTATACATACATCTTCACGTGATGCTTTTTATTGTAGTTTCATTAGTGGTATGAATAATGTGGTAGGGCACTGTATATTTGTTAAACTTACATAACCTTATATAAGTATATAGGGTCTTATTTAGCAAATCTGTAAGTCTGGTCACTGTATAACAAAGATACTGTTGTTCTATAATTTAAAGGGCATTTTACAACTGAGAAGAGCAAGACACTTTGTGTACCCAGAGAGTTTTGGGAGTGTGGAACAAGTTATCAGCTATGTTGCTAAAAAGTTATGCCCTGAATATTGCCAAGATGTTTAAAATAGCCTTCTCTCATTTGTAAACTGTCTAAAGTTCCTATATAATTGCATTGAATGTTTTCAAAGCAACATCTATTTTCCCTGAACAGGTGTATTTTCAACATCAAGCCAATATAATAAACAACCATATAAATGTGGACAATCTGTTGTTTCAAAAACAAAAATGAACCACAAAGAGTAACAGTTTCAATACTACGAGCATGCAGTTAAATGTCAAACATATAACTGAAAGGATTAAGAAACCAAACACCTTACCACCAAATCTCACTATGAGCTCAAAACGCTACAAATGAGTCACGAGTGAAAACCACAGAACTGCTTTTTCACCACAACACAGAGCAACATCTGCATATACTGAAAGACTTCCTGTGCATATCTGACAGATCTAATTTGAATGAGTTACGAAAGGGGGTTACTTGGAGTTGACTACAGCCACGCTCCATTTTGAGATTTATTCTAAAATAGGTAATGGAATCAAACTAGCAAATCAAAATGTGTCAGTTTCTCCCTTGGGAAGATGTCAGGCTGGAGGGAAGAGGATGGGTGTGTACTAGACCGCACGCTGTCCACTGCTTCATCAGACTAAGAGGTTTTATCCCATGTCATCTAGTGTAACATCCATTGTTCAAGGGTTTTGAGCAGGCAATCGAAAACTATTTAAAATGTTTTGTATAGTCCAAGGTTAGTTTCGTTACATTGTTATAGGGGGCTGTCTGTACAAAAGCCACTGCTTGCATTATGTTAAATTATTTTCAGAAACTTAGTTTATACTTGTCATATACAAGAGTTTATACTGAACACATTTATAGCAATGTCAAATCTGTATCCAGACTGGACAGGACGCCTCTGGCAAACTCCCTGAATGTCAGTCCACACCGGACATCTTGGAACAATCCGAAAGACCTGATGCAAACGCACAGCCCTACCCCTGCATTTCTACTGGACACAGCCTCCTAGAAACAGGCTGCCCCCACAGATCCACCATTAGACCATGAAGAAGGGCTCCAATTGCACTTATGGCTATCATTGAGTCATGCCTTCTTCCTTCGCTCAAAGAAGCTAATTTCTTTTTAAATCCTCCATTTTTATCTTTCAGCTTTTCACACCCCTCCGCTGTGGACACTCTCACGTGTCCCATTCTCACCTGCTGCCTTGTGGTCCCCAGTGCTTTATATTCCTGCCACCTTCCTCACTCTCACTCACCCCCGAAGAAGGCTCCCCAATCAAAACCTTGTCTACACTTTCACTTTTTCAGTGTGGAATTAACCTTTACTTGTTCCTTTGAGGCCAATGCACACCAATGCACCCCCCGATTATCACATCTTTTAAAGACCATCCGTTAATAGTACAAGGTCTTAACACTACCAAATACAAAACACCTGTAGACGACAATCTTACTAAACCGCATCCTTTTCATTGACCTTGCTAATAGTTTTTCCTTTTAAGTTAATTTTCAAGTGCTTAATGTGCTGCCTAAACACGCAGGCCTAGATTCTGTATTCCTGCCCGATCAACCAGCCTGGTGTATTCACATGTTTAGGACTGTGTAGTAAGAAACAAGCAAGAGCTGAGTAAGCCCTGCAGGCTGTTTAAGCCCCTAAACATTTTCTGTTCAAAATAATTTTTGAAAAATCTGCTCAATTTGATTCCGTTAGAAAAACAGCTAACGAAGCCTGAGCGATGGTTGAATGTCGTCCTTTCCTGTTCTAGTCATCCTACTCGCAGGATACACACAGGACTGCAGTTTTCACCCAGATATCTTTCTCCTGCATGGGTTTGGAATCGCTGGCAATTATACAGAATGGGACACTGCGGCGACACAAATTATCTATTTCTTGTGTGCGTGAACACAGTTGCAAACAGACTTGGACTTGGAGCTGTGTCCTCGCTGTGCACCTTGCCTCCGAGAGGTCACCCCCATTCCGGGTGCGTGGCAAATTACTGGCTAACTGCTAGCAAACCAGCGGTGGCGTGAGTGAGTGCTGGTTAACAACTGGACGCCGTGGTCCAATCGAAAGCAAAGACGTCCTATGGCTCCATTTAGCAAAAAGTCCCAGAGTCATCTTTGCTTTGTGGCTTTATTTATGCAGAAGGTAGAATCGATCCAAAAGAACAACCAGGTATACTTACAGCGGGGGGGGAACTTATATACATCTGTAAGAAACTGAAACTGAAAACTAGGCTGAACAACCCCCTCTTATTTTATGTTTTTATCTATCATCCATAATCCATACACTAGAATACATTTCCTGAAAATCATACAGAATGGGAAACAAAGAAGTAAACAGATACAAGAAAGAGGGTGACCTTAACCCAGTCAAAACAACACGGTTTTCAACAACACGTAACTATGACGACGGTAAAGTCACTAAGGGTAAGCATCCCTTAAAAACAGCACACCTAAATGTTTGATGCCACTGTCAGTTTTCTTTTAAAGAGGAAACCTCTTCAGCCGTACAATCCAAAAAAATACATTTGTCTGCAGTTTGAGTTCACATTCCACTGGGTGTCACTGTTCATAGATAAAGATTTCTATTTTCTGCCTGTAATTTGAGTATGGTACAGTGTGTGGCATTCAGCAGATTTGTTGACACAGATTCTTGGTTATCTTACCTGACTCTGCTCCCACACACACACCAGCCATGCAAGGGAGTATAAACATGTTAAAGTCTCAACAGCCAACAAGCACAAATGCATTTCGTCCACCAGTTTCCACTTCAAATAGCATGGTACGGTAGGTGGTATGGGACCAGAGTCCCAGGTTCGAATCTGTCTCTGTCCCTGTGGAGTTTCAATGTTCTTCTTGTGTTCTTCTGTGGGGTTTCACCATGTGAGTCACTGGTTGACTGACTGATGTGAAAAATATCCCTAGTGCCACCACCAGCATATCAGGCTCCCACACCCAAAGGCCAATAAAAAAAAACACCTGGTTCTAGAGGTCTGCATGACACTCCAATTGTTGAAAGCCAAAGCACCACCAGACTGGTGATGCCAACGGGCGGCTCTGAGGTTTGTCTTGTGCCTGTGCCAGGTGGGCAAGGCTAAACATTCCTTTGGAAGCACCACCTGGGAGCGCAGAACGCTTCCAATACACACAGAGCGGAGGAGTGCCAGGTTTGTTTGTTTGTTTTTTAATTATGGTAAACAACCAAGCAGCACAAAACTGAAACAAGCAACAGAAGTATTTTCTACTCCATAACACATACCGGTGAAAATCTGATTTCAAAACTCCAGTGACATCTTCCTTTCGAGCCATGTTTCATGCCTTGTAAAGAAGGCACGAGAACCCTGCAGTAATGTCTGCACAAACAGCATGTTGATCTGTGCAGGGAGTGTCACAATAACCATAATTACATAACAGACTGATGAATGAAGATGCCAAGATTTTAACACCATTAAAATAATGGTAATTTTTCAAATCCACTTGGATGTCCGCTTGATTGCATACCTGCTTTTATTTCTGTCTGTTAGCATTTTTTCTACAGTAAAATCTGTACCTGTGCCAGTTCAGCTTAAGATGATTACGCACAGCCCAACCTCCTCTGTGCACAAGGGAAGGTGACAAATTTACTTTGGCTGGTTCATAACCGAACACTAGCAAGACTGGGAACTGAGTAAACCAAAATCAAATTGAAAGCTTATATATCTAAAAGATGACAAGTCATACAAGTGTTATTCTTATCCTAAATGGCTTATTTTTTCACCCAATGTGAAACCTGCAAGGCAGAAATCTGGGATCAGCTCCAACTCTCACTGGGTTTCTATTGGTTTAGTGCTGATACACCCATAAGCAGTGATGTTTACAATATGAAGACAGCTTCAGGTTTTTAACTCTTTCAGGGAAGGCATGGAAGAGTGACCACAAGGATCCTCCCTCAAAGCCAGCATGCAGAGGTCAGTGACACACAGTGAATTCACCTCATGGTGTTCCTGATCAGAAGCAAGAGAGTACACAAGTGGTGGGGGGTCTTGAATCCAATCCAGCTTTCTGTCACTCTAAAACAAGAGCCCCATTCATGCCTGAAGCACCAAAACCTTTCATTGGTTGCGCTGTGGTTATCTGGAAATACTCACAGGTTAATAACCAGGTCAGTGCTTATGCTACACTGCGGTGCTCCTCTAAACAAATCAATTTAACGAACAAAGGTTCTACTACTGTGTTAAGTCACAGATTGGACAGCCTAATCTAAAACCTGGTTAGCTAAAAGAATCTAGCTTGAACCTTTTCATCTTTGCCTAAAAGTGTGTCTAAAAGAACATACAAATCCACCAGCCTTTTCATCTTAGATTAATCTTTTAAGCCTGTCACACATTGGAACACTTTTTATGTCACGTTCTTCACCTGCTCAAAGCCAACAGCAAATTGTTCCATCAGCAATTGACTAAACAGGATCCCTGAACAAATTCAGTTAGAGCACACTGGATACAATTATCTTTATTTTGTAAAAAAAAAAGTGACTTGTAGAAGTATTCAATCCCTTCCAATGCTGTCTCATTTTGTTGAAATACGTATTAAAGTTGCACAATTTCACCCACATGTTCAGTATGACAATTTATTGTTGATTAGCTTTTATTAACAATATATAATTCTTACATAAGTGTAGGAATAGCTTGCTTATGTGCTGGTATACACTTAATAGAGTGAACATATTGAGCTATGAGTGGATATACTGATTTAAAGGCGCTCGACCCCGGGACAGGTAGGGTCACGCTGTGCTCTAGGTGAGGGATACGTTTCTCACCCAGAAGGACCGAACGGGGTCGACGCTGGACGCAGCCCTGTGACGTTTAAAGAGACGATAGGCTCGAAGCTGGACAGGGGGTGGAGCTTGCCCACACTTCCTCATTCTCTCCTGTGTGTAGGGCACTGGGCTCAGTTGCAAGCAAAACATAATAGACGATTCAAAATCATGCGCGTATAAAAAATGCAAGTTATAAATTACCAAAAGAATTACAGAGATTACAAAAAAAACTCCATTTAGTATGGTGAACTAGCTCAGCCTTGTTTATGGGTACAGGTTTGGGCACTAACCGAAACCAATCCAGAGAACAAATATGTAACTTTTCTGAGGCAATTTTCTTCATATCAATATAGCTATAAATATTCTTCCTCTAGTTCCCCCTCCTCGCCTCAGGTTTTTAATCTTCTAAGCACAAGTTTCCTGCGCAGTATTTCTGCCAAAGCTAACGAAAACAGCTCCGTTTACTGCAGTGCCTGTCACCCTCGCTGCGACTGCCAAATGACTTAATTTACTGATCTCATGATCGTAATAAACCCTGAACAAAATAAGGAAAGGCGCACCGCAAGCACAGCCATCAGCCTCGTCTTGCTAGGAAGCAGGAGTGACGGAGAAGGATCAGTGCACTTGGTCATCTTTAAAAGACGAGCGTGACGTCGGATGCGCACTTTCAGCGCTTTTTTAAAAAAAACACTTGAAACACCGAACCGAACAACGTGCGCCCCTCTCTGCTGGGGGGGGGGGGTTTCCGAGTGGTAAATCTGACAATTGTTTCACTCTCATTGCTAATAAAACATGAGCAATGGAAGAAATCGATGCTGGCATGATGCACTGCTCGAGGATCAGGAGGCCAAAGTACCGCCTTTGGCATACAGAAGCGCGTTACAAACAAAACCACCCCCACTGAAGACCTTTTTGCGCTACTTTAGTAATTACTTTGTGAGAGCCCACCTCTAAGATAAACACCGAAGTCTTTACACATCTCTTTACAAATAACCCCGACTAACACTCGAGCGAGAGTGAGCTGTGTGACAGAGGCGGAGAACACCAAGCCGACAGGCAGAGCGGCTCCCTGGAAGAGGAAGTGCTCTACAGATGCCACATACTGTACTCGCATAAATCATAGAGAACAGTCTGGCCCTCTCGACTGAGTCTTTAACCCCTTCGGTTGGCATGGAGAGCAGCAACAGCAGCCTTGCATACCTGCCAGGAATTTATCCCATTTTAAAACACGGATATTCTGGTTGGTGACAAATCCAAACACTTCCATTATTATGAAATAAACCTCAGTAGGTATAAAGGTATACATGCAGATATAAAGTCTTTTCTTTCCGTCCACACGAAAATAACCACACTTGAATGGCTCTCCAGTAATGCAGTAGTATGACGAAGCTTAAACCATGTATGTGGTCTTTTCTTATGCCTCCATAGTTTTAAGAGTTCTCTCTTATCTAATGCAATGACACAAATGGTGATTCTTGACAGAACGGACTACAGAATTATGCATCTCGTCCAGATGGACGACCGTCCTCTGCTCACACGACAAGTGTAATACTTGTCAGCTCATTGCTGAACCCCGTTTTTTCAATTTTATTTTATACTCCCGTTCTTCCGGGAATGATCAGCTTTCCTTGGGTTCCCATCCAACAAAATGCTGGCCATGACCCCTCAAATCAGGGGCTACAGCTCAAACTCACGCACACGGAGAAGACCCTGAAGCCCGATTTCATAGACTGCTGGAAATCTTAAGGGGAATGGCACAGCCTGCAGCTCAGTCTCATCCTGGGAGTACTCAAACTCCTTGAGCTCTCAGAGCTCAACTTCAGCAGACAGAGCCACCACCAAGCCATGCCCTTCCACAGCGGAGAGTCTGTGGGCTCTCAGCTTTCAGTGTTACCCACTGTGTCTCCGTGCCGGCATGTCGAAGGCACAGTGGTTTTTAAAAGCGCCAGCCAGGTCCACTTCCATTAATAAAGACCCTTGTACTCGAGCACCCTTCAGATTGGCTTGGTCGCTTGGGGCCAGCTTGACTTCTTTATTGCCAATGAAATGTTGCTGAACAAATACAACTTTACAGGAATTCAAAAGCATTTTTTCCTCCATTGCTTGCCTCAATTTAAAACAGTCCCTAATATAATTGTTCTGGTTTAATTCGCCAACTCAGTTTACACGGAAATCCTTTCCCTTCCCAGAAAAAAAGAAATCTTAAAAAAAGGCAGAGATTTTAGTCATGTTGGCTTTCTGATCTGCAAGGTTCACCTGCTAACATGTCAATTCGGTATAATGTCTGCACTGAAGTGGTACAGAAAACAAAAGGCCTTATGAAACCAACAATCGGTGTCAAGTTAAAAGCAAATATGTTAAATCGGTAAATAAAGATGAGAATTTAAAATAAGCACGCAGGTGTCGTCCTCAACTAGCACAGAAATGCTACAACTAACACAAGACAATGAAGTTATTTTGTGAAGCAAAATAAATTTTAACATTTGTGTAAAATGCCACAAAAACAAAGAAAGGAAACTAACTGCTGTGTAAGAACTTGTTTATTTTACCACAGCTCAATAACATGAACAAACACTAACAAATGTCAGAGTGAATGATTCTGGGACATAGACTGAAATGAACAGTGGTACTGACCTTCCAGTAATCAGACTGTAAACTGTAGTACCTCTGGTATGCAGATAATGCTGTGAGGGAAGAAAGAGAAAAAAAAACATGTCAGTATGATGGAAACTGTAAAACTACAAACAGCGGACATACACAGACCTACAGCATGTGCATATATACTTAGACATGGCCTGCCTCGGTTCTTTAGCATTGCCAATTTGAGGTGGCTGTGCTGCCAAATTTAAGTTAAGCATGACAATGGCACATCTGAGATAACATTCAGGCAAGCGTGTGGCTCCTAGACAAAGCTCTATGGACAGACAATATATTTTTAAAACAATAAAACCGCTTGGAGAACAGAACATCAGGTTTTTGTGCTCCCACACATAAATGGCAATCTGGAAAACTTTTTAGCTTCCAGTTTTTCAATTCCAATTCCTTCTGACCAATTCCACATGTGTAATGATATTCTGGAATTAACCACAACAGGGGATTGATACAGACGCACAAGTACCTACATAAGATAAGAATGAAATATGCTCTCCTTAGTTTACATATTTCTCAGCTTTTTTTTTAATGAAACAGTACTGTATTTCCATTTCCCAGAGCTACTGTGCTGTCCTTGGGTGGAAAAACAGGACTAAAACCGAGCAAACAAATAGCAGTGGAAGAGAAAGTTGGAAAGACTGAAACAAAGCTGCAGCATTCCTGAAGAGCAACAAACTGATAGGGGTCTCCATGAAGCAAGATGCCTGCTCAGCAAAAGAGGGATTTTCAAATTGATCTTGACATTGTTGCTTTCAGGACCAGGTTATTACAGCAGGTCCATAACTCTTGATGGACACCCACAATAAATACCTCCTTCCACCTTAACCCTTCCAACACCGAGCTCGTAGACCGAAACAGGGACTTCTCTTCACACACAGGATATGTTTTTCAGTGTCAATGTAATTTCCTAAATTATTCTGCACACATCTTAGCAATGGGAACCCCACCTGATTTATTTTTTCGTATGCCTCATTTTCAAGGTCTTGTGTTGCTCTTGGGCTTCTTTAAAATTTCAATTTAATTTCATATTCTAGTTACTTTGCGTGTTAAGAGTCCCGGTCTAAAAGCTGGAGTCTGGCAGAGTAGTGTGTGGGAAAACACTATTATAAAGCAACCTTTGCATAACCTTGATGTCACATCTGGAAATGTGCTATATAAGTAAGGATTATTATCTTATTAAAAATTCACGTCCATAAAGGGCATCTAAGCACATTTTTTTTTAACACTGCCTGCCAAGAAATGTGTTTGTGTCGAGACTGACTGCAGCAGCAGGAACGGGTTAGATTTAGTTTGTTCCCTGCATGGTCCAGACAGCGAGTACAGGAGCCCTAGTGTTTCGGCCATTTACCAGGCCAGAGGACGACTTACGAAAAACAAAGGGCAGTTGGCAAAAACCGGCACCAGCAGGCTTTGGTCACACACAAGTGTTGAAACAGCTGCCTTTATCCAGCCCTTAGAAAAGTTGCTCACGGAGATATCTGCACACATCTTTCATGACACTATGTCTGCAAAGTGTCACCTTGAGTTACAGCATTACAACACGATTCTAAAATCTGCTGGATACACTTCCAATAAACCTACGTTTCGTCACAGAATAGCAGTTAATCAGGTACGTTAATTACTAGTTAGTCTTCATAATCAAAATTCCAGATATGACACAAAGATCAGTAGGTCCCATAGTTAAGTGTAGTAAACGTTAACAGTAATATCTTGAAGTTTAATATTTTACATGTGATTTCAGACGTGGTTTTATACAGACCTAATCTTATTAAAGTGAGCTTGGTTTGCAATAGATGCATTTTCTGTCGGTGTACATGTTAAGCAGTTGTCATTCCTTAACTCAATGAAGGAACACATTCAATGTCATTAACCAAACACTATCAAGATGACAGGCAATGTTCCGGAGACCATAAAAAACAAAGAGGCATATGAAACAAAACATAAGTTCAATACAGAAAAAACAACTTAGGTCATATATTGTCGTTTGTAAATGATGACTAACGCAAACATTCCTAATGTACAGTGTTACCTCCTGTATGCTCACATCAAACGTAAAAATGCATATTCTTACAAATCCATTTCTCTCCATTCTTGAACATCAATCTTGTGGTTAAGGAAATGTAGGAAAAATGTTAAAAGTAAGCTAATGTAGAAAATTGACAACAACCTTAATCTACACTGAAGATAGATGGAAATCACTTGACACAAAGGAAAGCAGTCTACAAACGTACAGTGAAGTAACTGACTACATAATTTCTAATTTAAGACTTCCATCTGCAATAGGATTCTAAGGAGGGGTTCCGGTGGACCAGTAGATGGTATTCTGCCCTCTACATCAAACATGATCCAGTAGGAAGACAGGCAACATTGTGCTACAACTCAAAAACCTTGGCATGTTGTACTTTGGGGAACATCCAGCCCAGATCCTGACTACACGGTCAATGAAAATTCCATGGCACCATTCAATCAACTGACACAGCATTTTCTCTCTCCTCCTGGAGTGCTGGAGGGTGAAAGAAGTGGGTACTCTATTATAAACCAGTGCTACGGTAGCCCTTTGAACAAACAGTACTATATGAAGGATTCCTTGCACTTATTGTGAGCCACTAGGATATTTTATCAGAACCTGTCCCTCTGAAATCTACTGAATCCTCAGATTTGACAAAGAACAGCACATGGCATGTGTTACACTCTGCATTGCATACTGTATGTTGGCAGTTTCCTTTTTTATAGCCCTGAGACTCACCGCTAACTTGGACACTTAAACAAATGCAGAAATGTTACTTGATCAAGGCCAAAAAAAATCACTTGTCATCACTCCTTCATAATCGCTATGCATCATGCATCATCCTCCAGAACCATTTGTGCAAATGACTTTACGCGCAATTATATGCAGCCGTTCATAACGAGAGAGTTTCATCTGAACAAGAGAGAAGGTGAAAGCTGCCAAGGACTTTCTGCTGATCCAGCTCAGTAAGAGCGGTCTCAGTACGTCTGTGAAATTGTATTTCGCTATATTGTTTTCTGCATGTTGCTTTAGCACAGTGTGTAGCTTGTTAGGATATGAGCTATCCTTGCAGTCCTACAATAAAGCAAAAACTTCAACAGTACTACATCCACAAAGTACAAACACTATTCTTAAAATATTCTCTATCTTTAAGTGAAAATAACAGAAAACATACTGGTTGAGATAATGTAGAGAAAAGTGTCCTAGAAGACCTTCGTTGTTAATCTCCTGCTGTGTTTTTTTTTTTACTCAAGACCATTCTGTGCTGCGTTCATACTCCACGATTCTGGGACAGCACTATTCACCCAGCCAAATCTGATCTGTGTGTGAAACACTGCAGTTTAAAAAGCAAAGTCATTTCATTTTTAAAGGGAGTGGTAGGGATAATCGGCATTAACGCTGCAGTTTCCTTCCAATCCCCAAAGAGATGCAGGCTAGGTCAGTCGCTCGCTCTCCGCTTTGAGTGCCTGGTTGTCCTGAGGGGGACTAGTGTCCTGTCCTGACTGGAGCCTTGCCTCGAGCACTGCACTCTCAGGACAGGCCTTGAGGTACCATCAACCTGTCCAGGAGTGAGGCAGCTTTCAGAAAATGGAGAACCGTTTTAATCTTGTGCTCGTCCACCTGGTCATTTAGATCATTACCAAAAAACGATTTCACAGAAAAAATAAATTTGGGAAAAGAAACCACATGCAAGAGTCAGGACAACGTGTGATTGCGGAGCTTGCAATGTTCTCTTCTGAGCTCGACATGCTCCTTACTATTACTTGTAGGAGTATTCTTCCCAATCAGTTTTTCCAATTTTGACAGGAAGTGATTTGTTACGTTTGGACTCCTAAGCCTTTCCCACTTAAAACAACTTCTACACAAGCATGGTGTGGTTTTTCCGGCTCAATCGCTCAACATCTTAATTCAGGCAAGCTCATTCCTCAGTGCTTCTAAGTACACTGACGACTTCTGGTTTTTAACAGGTCCCTTTTTCAAATCAGCTGTCAAAGACCCAAAAATGACAGTTCTTGTGTACCACGCAATAACAAAAACCGTCTGGAACGCCAATTCTGAGAACCACTCAGAGTAATTGCAATCATGAAGCAAGGCAGACCAAAGGGTTTTATAGAAAAATGAGTGTGCGCCCTAAATGTCAACTTATGCAAACTATTTCAACAAAAAAAAATCTAAACTCTCTAAAAATGCATTCTGGTCCCGGAGGGGGAGGCTTAAAACAAATGTTCAGGGAATTTAGCTTGGCTGCAGCCTTGGCAACAATAATGAGCTCTTTGTGAGTCTCTGCCCCCCCACTCCACATTCTGCCTCACACCCCCACTGTGGTCACATCGTTCAGCAAGTTAAAGGAGAGGTAATCACCCTTCATCATCATCATCATCATCTTCATCACACATCCTGCTTATTAACCCAATTATCTACATCCATAGAAATAAGCTGGAAAGTTAACAGGGCTTTTCCCACAAAGTAAAAACTCT